TCTCCCTCTCTCTCTATCTCTCTCTGCAGCAGCGTACCCGGGCGGACGTGTCGAGCGGTGTGTCCACCTCGTCCGGAAACTGCTGCTCACTGCGCGCCTGCCGGTGCTTCTCCAGCATCCGCCGCTCCTCTTCCATGTCCATCGCGTCATCGTAGCTGTCCGTGTCGACCACCTTATTATTATTATTATTATTATTAAATCTTTATTGCATGTAATTCAGATAAAAAATACATGTACTGACGACAGTTTTTTTCATGGAGAAAAATAGTGTTGAGTAGATAAAATGATAACATTTCTGACTGATACAGTACAATTACAATACAATACAACATAATACACAATATAATACAATACAATACCTCACTCGTTAGCGTCTGTGCGTCAAACTCCATCCCATCCTCCTCATCCTCGCCGCTGCAATGACCAGAGTGCGTCAGAATAAGCTACCGGGTTTCGTTATCTTACCATTTTTTATTTTATATTCTTTATTTATTACGTATTTTATTTTATGATAAATTCGCGTAATTAACCTGTTGGCAATAGTTTTGACAACTGGTCTGTTTTTTCACCTACTGCCGTATGACAATGACATGAAGCTCAATGTGAATAGTGGGATATCAGAAGAACTTTAAGATTAAAGTAATTACGTCACCGTAAATAGTAAAAGTAAAAAAAATATTTTGGTCACAAAATGTAAGTAATTCTGTTCACTTTTTATGGTTAAATTGCTCCATTATACTTCCTATTTTACTATACTGTTTGATGTAAACATACACTCGTGACTCATACATAGCCCATAGCAACCAATTAATGTCAGGATCACAATATCAAATCGTCCAGGTTTTTTGGATTTTTAACTAGCTGAGAAACAATCTTATCAGGTAAGAATTTGACAATACATTTAATCCCTTTAGTACTTACTTTTAATGTAATAAAATGGCAACAAAATTTTTACAAATATACATCATAGAAAATTCGTGACGTAGTCAATTTAATAAACTAAAAATAAATAATTAATTTGTATAAAATAACTCCGCTTTCATTTGTTTACTGTATTTCTCTCTCGTAATATCTAGAATTCTTGTGTAATACGCACCTTGCTTCGTCCTCGTTGGGCTCCATCTCCTCCTGATGATCGTCGTTGTCGTCAGCACTGCTGCTACTGTCTGCATCCTCCTCCTCCTCGTCTTCATCTATAATCCACGATGCCTGGTAGTCGGACGTTCCCTGCAAACGTTCACGTCAAAACGCTCAGAGCGACGCTACATTTCTCCTACTTGTTTTCTGCGTCATTGTTTCTCTTACAGTATATTAAAGTTACTATTATATGATTGTCGTTTCTTAGCATTTATATTTTAATGTTGCAGTCCGCTATTTTATAATCAGGAAATGTTATAGGATTGTCGTAATTTAAGTTGATCTGTATTTTACAGTGTTGCAGTCCTCTGTTTTATAATCAGTCTTTGTAATGCGCACGTGAACATATTTGCATGTAACGTGCGCAATATAAATCAATATATATTATTAATATTACAGTACACAATCACCGAAACCCTTGGGACCATCCACGGTTCGGAATTCGGAATTTTTCCGATTTCGGAATGGTAGTACAGTACAGATATACATACCGTATATCCTGCAACTAGCCAGTACTAAAACCAAGGTTTTCAAGAGGCCAAGTGCTGTACAGTACTGGTACAGTACAATATGTACAAGTAATGCCAAACACATTAATATTTCTGCAGTAAACCTTGTGTAGCCAAACTCGAGCTCTAGTGTGCAGACGACCTGCATGAAAAAACTTTCGGTTTTCAGAATTTTGGATAATAGATTGTGTACTGTACTAGAACAGGCGAACGACCGACGTCTGACGATGGCGCACCTGAACGCGCGGGGTGGTCGGGACTTACAACACCTAGCGTCTGGTTATACTGAGACTACCCGACTCACGAACATTCAAGTTACAAACTTTCGATGATACGAACAATTTGCCCTGAAGTCCATTTGTGTATAATGTCAATATTGGTGAATAAAAAGACACA